CCCCAAAACCCCAAAACCCCAAAACCCCAAAACCCCTTCGAAATCCCTAAGCATTGAAATCGGCCGGCATTCCCAAATTCAGCATCCTAATTATCCCTATTCTTCTTACTAATTAATATTCCGTATTATTTCGATATATTTCCTCAATTCCTCATTATATTCAATTTGCTTCTTTAACTTCACTTTCTGATCTGAAAACTCTCGAAATAAATGCATTTTCTCCCTAAATCTTAAGAATTTGGCTTACTGATTAGATTTTTCTTGAACTGGTGAGGCTGAGAAATGCTCTGTTGAGTAAATCTCATGCAATCTTCCTCTCTTCTTTGGTGGAGAGAGACTAATATCTTCGATACTGATATTTGGACCAGATGGTGAAACCTCAATTGCTAGGTTATTTTCTATCATATTCTAAATTTTGAGGACTGAAACCTACTGATTTGCTTAAGCTTTGCTGCTGTTTCTTCTTCCAACCATCTAGTGTGCTATAAGATAGGTCTTCCATCTCCTTTAGCTTCTTGCTAGAATAGCTCTTTACAGGAGTCCAGGTGGGCTTCAATTGCTGAGACAACTTGCTCATCGACGAAGGTCCGAACATTCTGTGTTTGGATCTTACTGGTCTAGAAGTTCTGGAAAATCTTACTGTGGGCTTTTCAGAAGCTGTTCTTCTTTGTTTCTCATCAAGTTATTCTTCCGAAGGACTATACTTCAGGTATGCCTACTTACATTTCTGCATGTTATTGTAGTCAAAAGTGTTGGAATTACCCTGACCTGTCCCGTTCCGAGAATCTATAAGAGTTATTAAAGAACCATCCAGAGTATAAGTTGTGATTTTACTTTGTTTTCCTCTATATTTTACAATGTTTATCAGCTTATTTATGAAGCTTATCCCTTTCTTTCTCTTTTTGTTTGTCCTCAAAGTATTTTTGGCGACTATTTTATGGTGTAATTTTAGCGAAAAAGGTGGGAGCTCATCAGGAATGATTTCACTTACTCAAATTTCCAAAAGTTCCGAGTCTTGACCTTGTATTTATTCACAATTGAAGGCTTTTTCCACGGAATTGGTTTTATCTGGGTCGGTCTGCTTCTTGGGATGGACCAATAAGGAACATACCTCGAGTGTCCATGGTAATAGCCCTCATAAGGGTTACTTTTAAGGTTTGTTTTATCTAAAAAGTGTTATTCCACTAAAGAATTGTATGACTTCACCTACTTAAATTGATTTAGGATTTCTGATTGCATCTCATAACTATCGATCTCATTTCCTAGTCTAATCGCATTCTGCTTGTGGCTGTATTCACTAATAAACATATTTAATTTTTTATAAAAGGGGTTTTGGGGTTTTGGGGTTTTGGGG